CAGGATAAACACTAAAAAGTATATGTCTGTGCATATCATATTCAAATTGCAGAAAATCCACGAGAACAAAAACCTTGAAAGAATCTGGAGGAAAAACAAGTGTGAGAGAAATCCATACTACGTTTTACTGTCTATGCTCTCACCACTTGGCCACCTAGCCAGACCCCTTAAAGGGAAATGCACAGCAATGTGAGGAAACAAAAGCCCTACCTTCTAGCTAGAGGATCAGAGGAAGTCCACAGGGACCCTGTGAGCTTGGGAAAAGCCACTGACAGTAGCAAATGTAAGCAAGAGAACACATTATATTGAGCAGAAATTCCTGGGTTCAACCTAAAGTGCCCATGCAGAAATCTTCATAGTTACCAAGGACTGGAGAACTGAACTGGTAGGGGTAGATCATAATGTTATAATTTTCTCTCCTATCACTGTTTAGCTGCAATCCATAAATTTTGATGTATTGATTTTCCCAGTTAATTCAGTTCTATGGATGTTTTTAATTTCCAACATCTGAATATGCCTGTTTCAAGCACACATGGAAAACTCACCAAGCTAGATTATCTCCTGGGCCATAAAATAAACACTGTTTTTCCTTAAGGCGGAGTCTCGTTCTGTTGCCCAGGCTGGAGTGCTGTGGTGAGATCTCAGCTTACTACAACCTCTGCCTCCCGGGTTCAAGGGGTTCTCCTACCTCAGCCACCCGAGTAACTGGGATTACAGGCGCACACCACCATCCTTGGCTAACTTATTTTTTTTTTTTTTTTTAATTTTAGTAGAGACCGGGTTTCACCATGTTGGTCAGGCTGCTCTGGAACTCCTGACCTCAAGTGCCCTCTCTGCCTTGGCCTCCCAAAGTGCTGGGAATACAGGTGTGAGCCACTGTGCCCTCCCTTTTTTTTCTTTTTGAAACAACAGATTTCTAAAATCCAAATCATCAAGAGTATGTTCTTCGGCCTCTCTGGCCCCATAATAGAGATCGAACAATAACATAAGTGCAATAGGAAATTATCATACCCTGTGGAATTAAATAACACCATCTTCAACAATTCAAGAATCAAAAAGGTAGCCTCAAGGAAATTCATAGAACTGAATTAAATTGGAAAAGCAATATAACACAATTTGTGGGATGCAACTAAAACAGTGTTTAGAGAGAAAATTATAACATTTAGTACTTAGATTAAAGTAAAAGAGAGATCTCACATAAATAATCTGAGCTTCTACCTTAACTAACCAGAAAAGAAGGGAACAAACTAAAGCTAATCCACGTTGAAAAAATTCTCAAAGCTAAAAAATATTTTCAAAAAAATAAAAACGGAAATGTGATGTTTTAAAATATCTGCCATTCAGCTAAAATGTGCCTAGGGGAAGTTTGATGTACTGAGCTGCTTATATTAGAAAGTAATAAAAGACTCAAATATGTATATTCTGATCTTAAATAACTGGAAAAGAAAAAGGAAATTACACCTAAGGTGAGCAGAAGGATGGGGATAATATAGACAAGAGGAGAAAAAATAATGAAATTGAAATTTTGGAAATTTTAGAAAAACAATAAATAATATTGATGGAATCAAATGCTAGATATTTAAGTAGATCAGACAAACTGAAAGCCCCGATGTCAATCTGAGAAATTTAAAACACATGGCTTTGGGCCAGGTGTGGTGGCTCAAGCCTGTAATCCCAGTACTTTGTGAGGCAGAGAGAGGCAGATCAATTGAGGCCAGGAGTTCAAGAGCAGCCTGGCCAAGATGGTGAAACCCTGTCTCTTCTCAAAATACAAAAATCAGCCAGGCATACAGTGCATGCCTGTGATACCAGCTACTCGGGAAGCTGAGGCATGAAAATCGCTCGAGCTTGGGGGGCGGGGACTGCAGTGAGCTGTGAGCTTGCCGCTACTGCACTCCAGCCTGGGCAACAGAGCGAGACTCTGTCCCACGAAACAAAACCAAACCCCAGAAAACATGGTTTTGGAGAAGCAACAGCTTTGAACACAGCTAGAAGTAGAGGAAATTTTACGGAAACTATAAACTGTTATGACAACAACAATGTTCATTTCTCAGAGAAGTTTCTGAGGAGACCAGATTTGCCTTGAAATGCTCAGCGTGTCTACTATGTTACATATCCTGTCAAATGTATTAGCTCAGGGGTTCCCAACACCCCGCCCCCCCCCACCCCCGGGGCCATGGATGGGAACTAGGCTGCACAGCAGGAGGTGAGTGGTTGGGCAAGCAAGTGAAGCTGAACTCCACCTCCCGTCAGATCAGAGGAGACATTAGCTCCTCAGAGGAGCAGGAATCCTATTGTGAACTTCGCCCGTGAGGGATCTAGGTTGCGGGCTCCTTATGAGAATCTAATGCTTGATGATCTGTTACTGTCTCCCACCACCCCGAGATGGGACCATCTGTTTGCAGGAAAACAAGCTCAGGGCTCCCACTGATTCTACATTATGCTGCTAATGTAATAACAATAATAGAAGTAAAGTGCGCAATAAATGTAATGTGCTTGAATCATCTGGAACAATGCCCCCCCTCCACCCCCGCCGTGCTCCTGGAAAAATTGTCTGTCACAAAACTGGTCCCTGGTGCCAAGAAGGATGGGGGCCGCTGTATTAACCCATGTAACTTGAAGAGGATCCTGTAAGGTCAGCAGGGAGAGTTCACCTTCTTCACTCCACAGCATTTTCTGCACTTCCCTTTGCAACACCTTCTATCCTCTCAGGAAGCTGAGGATTTCCTCCTTCCATCTGATGCCGGGGCAGACTTTTACCCATCATCTCTGCTACCCTCCACATGACCGTTCTTACCTGAACACCTGTATAGGTGCCGCTAGTCCGGCTGAAAGCCAGTATGTTCCTCGGGACACATGCCAGACAGGAGGCGGTGGGAGGCTGGTTAATTATTCGTTGGAAACTCCAGCTGGCATGTTCACCACGGAACCATTTTTCATCTCCTGGGAGGAGCCCAGGGTTTGTAAGAATTCAGCTTCGTGAAATGGCTGCTCCTCTTGTACCTCTTTGGAGGGGAATTTCTGAGCACCATCCGTGAGCGTGCTCAGTTCCCAGCTTCAGGTAAGAAACTTAATAAAATACTACTGCAAATATGCAACTGGCTGCAAAAAACACTCTCTCCACCTTCAGAGCTGTAACCCAACCAGGAGATTACAGGCCAAATTGGACTCTTCTCATAGCCCACTGGGAATACACAGAGTAGAAGTCCCCCAGGGAGGGAGGACAAGTGTCTAAAGTCACCATCCAGAATGGCTGTGGCTGTGGGAGTGGACCCAGGGTGAGCCATGCCAGAACCAGGGGACTACTTCAAGGACTAGGGATGTTCCGTGTTGCATGAAGGGCAGCTGGGTCTGCCCAGCTTCCAGGGAAGGCAACAGTGAAGAGCAAGCGGTAGGTCAGGTCTCAGAGTCAGAAGGGAAGAAACATGATAGTGACCGGAGGAAGGGCAGCGTGACACGGGAATGTGCTGGTGCCAGACAGAAATGCTGATTATGTATTTGTCCCTTAGGCCCAAGAAAGAGAAGAAAAAAGATGTGGCTGGGCATTTGTAGGCGCCCCTACAACCTGTTCCATAGTAGGCGCTCAATGGGCAGCACCCAGCAGACAGTTCCCAGGGGACCCGCCACATGCCATCCCCAAATGGTATTTGATGCTCATTGTCACCTTCTTTAGGCCTGCATTTAGTACCTTGGCCTCGGGGTCCTTCTTTCTGTCACTTGAGAGACATGATGCATTGCTGAGAAGAGAGATAAAGTACCAGTGAGGAGGTCAGCCTCAGGCTCAGGGGAGTGGGAACAGCATGGGCTCCAGAGAAATTCAGATCAGGGCTCTAGTTGCAGCTCTGTTCCTTACCAGCCACGCGATGCTGGGAAGTACAGAAGGTCCGTGAGCGTCTGGTTCTTCATCTGTGAAGCAGGTGTGATGAGGCCCTTCCACTAGGACTGCTGGAGTGTGTTCAGTGTATGTGAAACCCCTGGCTCGGGGCCTGGCGTTGAATTAGAAGTTTAAGGAATGGCAGAGGGCTGTTATATCTAATATTGTTTGACCCCAGACCCTAGCACTCTGGGATTTCGTTAATGTTGTTGTTCTCCAAGACTTATCAGAGAATAGACAGCTCCACAGGACATGGGATAATTAGCCCAAACAGGAAGTTTCCTCAATAAAAGTAAGTACTTCCTCTTAGAGAATGTACTTCAAAATTTGGGTGTGCCGGAGTCTTGTGCAGCCGGATGCAGCTCAGAGCTCCTAGAATTTGAATCAAGGATCAACTCCTTGCCTCTCTCCCAGCTGCTTTTTGATCCAAGACACTGTTTTCACTCATTTTTTTAATGCTCAAAATCTGGTCTTTCCTTACAATTGGTCAAATCCCACTTGAGATAACTTGATTAGAATGCCTTTTAAATAGGATCAACTCTGGGTCTCCAAGACAGGCAGAAAACCACCAATGACTTCTGGGCTTCCCTTCCTGGGAGATTCACGCTTATCCCGCAGGAAACCCTTGCAGATGACAGGTACCCATCGCCTAGCCCCTGCACCGTGTTCAGCCGCACCGAGACAAGAGCGCAGGACAATTTCCTTCTATTCCTGCCCCAGGTGGAAGCTCTTCTCTGTTCATCCACCATCCAAAAGAAACTGCTGAGCAGTTCTCCATTCCAGGCCTTTCTCTCTTCTTCTGAGAATCTGGCTCTGGCACCGTCCAGCTTCATTACAGTTAGCTCCCCTAGAAGAAACTGCAGTTTCCCAAAGCCCCAAAGGCCCTGGCTCAGGGCATACACACTCCACTGCTGTGATCTAGAGCCCCAAACCCTCACCCATGTTTTATTTTCCTCTAGTCCTTAGAGGACACCTCACCACCTTGATTTTATGACTGTAGCTCCCAGACTTCACCTCCCTGTGGTGAAGGGGTGGGACTGGCTTACCTTTGCATCTCTACTACTAAGCCAGAATGTTCCGAATAACAGATGCTCAGTGCATGTTTGGAGAAAAAAATGAGCCAGTGAACAGGAAAAATTATTTATTCAGTTTTTTTCTCTTACGTTCTCAAAGAAGCCGAGGGAATCCAGGTGTACATGTGTCTATTTTAATTTTACAGGGGAGGGAAAGAGGTATAAGGCAAGAATTAACTATACTTTCATTTCCTCACTTCTTTATGAGCTCTATTTTGCTGCTAAGTTCAACTTCCTGAAAACAAATTATTAATTCATCTGCTAGTTATCTTGTCCAAATTCACAAAATAACGTGGATTTCCCCATGGGAATCAAAAGCAAGAATCTTACTCCTAAATAACCTGAACAGCAGTATGTGTGACAACTGTCATCCATTAACTTCGATGGCTGAGGTTCATTAAACTGACCATTAAAACAACATTTGAAGAATTCCAAAAGGGAGCAAAGATAAATTTCCAAATCACCCAATAGGCAAGGAACCCAGAGATGGTATACAGTGTGTTCACTTCCACCCACTGCCACTGACAACAGCGACTGCAATCTTCCAACAGAGAGTGAAGAATGGGTCTCATGTCACATGGGGCAGGACAACTGCTGGGTGTGGCCCTGGCCCCACAGACATTGGCCCTGGCTGCGACTGGTGCTCAGACTCCCTCTTGCTCCTCTCCCAAAACCTCTTCATACAGGGATGGGTAGCAGATGGGATCTCTTGCATTGATCATGACCAAATAATCTATGACTTCCTCATAGCTGGTTTCAGCGTAGGCCTTTGAACCCCACAGGAACTCGTAGCGCTCAGGATCACTGCCGGGCACCTGGCGGTACTGCAGATAGTTTTCCTGCACCCAATCTTGGGTGAGCAGCTTCCTGGGCTCCCCATAGAAAGTGTGCTCCATCCCAACATACACCCCCATCGCACTCAATGCTTCCCAGATAACCTCTTCAGGGGCGCAGTTGTCTTTGGCTAAGATCACACCCAGGACAACGATCAGGAGGGCGACCTTGGGCATGCTATGACCATCACCCAGCATGCTATCACATGAGAGGCCAAGAGCAGGGACAAGGATGTAGGAGTGGCTGACGGGGTCCACCTCCTTCACTTCAACCCCAAAGATCAGCTGCATGAACTCGGAGGCTTTGCCGAAGATCACAGGAAAGTAGTGCTCGTAATTCTGGATGACACTCTCCAGCATTTCTGCCTCTGTGACCGGCTCCTTGACTTCATATTTGTGGAGCAGGAGATGAACCAACTCAGCCACCTTAGATTTCACTGCTTCTTGGAATAAGGACTCCAGGTGAGCTAGGTCGACCCAGGTGCTTGGCCCTTCCTCTTGTTGACTGCTGGAGCCCTCATTGAATTGGCTCCAGGGACTCCTCAGGGAGTCTGTGGAGCCTCCCTGAGGACTCTGGGAAGGACTTGATGGCCCAGCAGTGGACACCTCCTCCTCCTCCTTGTCTGTGGGATCCTGTGTACCCACCAGGCCCAGGTCCTCCCGTTGGGCTTCAAGGTCTTCATCAGGCTTGCTGTGCAGACTCTTCTGCTCAAGAGCCATGATGACTCTGGTCAGGGCAGCAGTTGGGACTGTGGGCAGGAGCTGGGCGACTGAGACCCACAGGCCTGGGGAGAGAGGGCGCGTGTGAGAGACTGCAGCTGAGAAGCGAACCTCGGTGGCTCTAACAAATGCTGACTTACAGGTCTTCTTCAGTGCTGCCCTGGGGCTTCTTGGGGCTCCTGTCCTCCTGGTCAGCCTGTCCTCTGGGACCCTGAAGGAGGAAGTGAGAGGGCTACTCAGCGTGCAGCTGGCCTGCAGAGACCAAGGCTCTCTGGGTGACAGTAGGGTGGATGGGGCTGGGCGCTCTGGACTCCCATGTGTGCTGGGGCAGGCGGGGCCCTTGGTGCACATGCGGGGCGAACACTTCACCTTCACTGCCGACACTGCCTGGGCCGCCTCTGCTCTGTGACCTGAGGACACTGCCTCAGACCAAGGCCTGCCTGCTTCCTGGAGCTCCTGGAAGAGGAATCGAGGGGCCCTTAGGCTGCAGACTGCAAGCACAGCCCTGGTCCTTCAGTGCTGCCAAGACGGCGGGCTGGACACTGTGAGTTCTACACACTTTTGGGGTGGATGTTCCCTTGGGTGCTCACTCAGGGCCCTCACATTTCTCCTGGCAGGGACTGGACTTCACTCCTCTACTTGTCTGAGAGTCTCTCAGATCAAGAGCTCATATTCCTGATATGGAACACAAGGACATGCCCTAACCAACATCTGGCCACACCTGCCCAGGGTTTTCCCAGAAGTACAACAAGAGGGGTACAAATTCAATGGGGTCCATGTGTCCTGGGGTGAGGATCCTGCCTGGTCCTCATCTTGATGCCTGCAGGGTCTGGAACCCTCCCTCTGTTGACCTGAGGCCTTCCTCTCCAGGAGACACCTGGAGAGGAAGTGAGGGGAGTCCATCCACCCAGCGGCTTCCCTTGGCTGACACAAGGGGCAGGGCGGGGCTGGATCCTCCGTGGTCGGTAAGCAGGGTCCCCTCAGTCTGCATTTGGACTCCCGGCAGGGCCTGGGACCCTCCCTCTGCTGATGTGACTGCAGCCCCCTCAGACCAGGGCCACTCCTCCCTGACACCAGTGATCCCAGGATGAAGGAGGGACCTCAGCAGTCAGCCCTGCACGGGCCCTCTGGGGTGACAGTAGGGGCAGGGCACTCTCTTGATCTGAGAATTTCTCTGGTCTGGAGGCACCCTCAATCCTCCCTTAGGTTCCTCACTTGGACTGCTGGCCAATCCTGGGACCACTGTGTCTGTCGAACACAGGGGCTCCCTGTTTTGTCCTCTCACCCTCTGAGAACAAGTTCCTCACCTCCCTGAGATTCAGAAACAGAGGTGAGGAGTCCCCCCATTCGTCACACTTGCGTGGGGTGTCCAGGGCTAACCCCACCGGCTCACCCCCTCCTGTGGGTATGAGGTGGGTATTCCAAAGTCCTCCTGTGGGTTAGTCATCTTTACTCCTGCTGGAGCCTGTCCTTCCTCGACCCCCAAACCCTTGAGATGAGCGGACAATCTCCCTTTACACCAACACCTCATCGCCCTGAGGGTTACTCAACTTCCTGCCGGTGGTACAAGTGAGCCTGCCACTTAGCCCCATCCTCAGAGCTAAGAACAGAGGTCACGTAGACTCTGTGGGGCGGCTTCTTTCTGCACTGGGGGTACCTCCATTCCTCATGAAGGGGGCACACCTTGGGTCCTGCTGATCCTGGGAGTCCTCCTTCTGCTGACCAGGTGTGGATCCCTCTGTTTAATCTCTCAGTGCCCCTGGGAGCAAGGTACTCGCCTCCCTGAGACCTCTCACCCCCAACCGCATGAGAGAAATGAGAGCATGCCACATGCCATTCCTGCCTGGGGCCACCTGGGGCTGAGAATAGGCGATGCCAGTGTCTGTGAGGTCCTTTCTGCTTTGGGAGCGTCCAGGTACGTTCTTACCTTCAGTCCTCACCAAACTTCCTCCCTGTCACTCCTGGAAGACCCTGGATTCCACCCTGTGCTGACCAGGTGTGGCTCCCTCTGCAGAGCTGAGGACACCCCTCAGAACAAGGCCCCCACCTCCCTGAGACCTGGGCGTCAGAAATGAGGGGGCACCACATGGTCACTCATGCATGAGATACCCAAGACTGACCAAAGGAGCGGGTTTCAGGGGGCCTCCTCGATCTGGGTGTCCTCTAGATAGTCATCTTTACTTCTGACAGGGTCTGGCCCCTTCCATTTTGCTGAACCAGAGGTGAGTCTTGCAGATCAAGGCCAGCTTCTCCCTGAAACTCTCATTGAGAAAGTGTGGGGTGGGGTGGGGGGGCACTTCCCTTCCTCACAGTCTTGCCTGCGGCCTCCCGAGACTGATGGCAGGGGCAGGTTTCCTAGTTCTGGGATGAGAGGTCTGGTGAATCCTTCCTCACGGCTCTGAGACTCCTCCCTCTGCTCACCTGAGGCCCCACTCCTCATACCACAGCCCTGTCCCCACTGACACTCGACCCCACAAGCCAGAACGCACCACATGTGGCCACCGTGCCCGGGATCGCCCAGGCCAAGATCCCCACGGATCTGGACTCCATGGTCCCTCTGTCCTCCCTCTTCTTCTTTCCCTGGTCTCCTAGAGGGCTGGGCCCCACCGCTCTGTAGACCTGAGTCTCTATCCATCGGATTCCCGAAACTGAATGAGGAGGCGCCTCAGTCTCAGATGGAGGCGGGTGGGCCCACTGTCCTGGGGTGCTGGGTCCCCTCAGGCCTCCCTTGTCTCCCAGCAGGACCTGGGCTCTCCCTCTGTTCTCCCGTGGCCATGCTAACGATACCAAGCCCCTTCCCTCGGTCAGCCCAGGTTGCAGACATCAGGATCTGCTTGCCTTACCGCCCTGCCCGGAACTTCCCAGGGTTGACAGCAAGGGCAGGGCCTCCCTCTACGGGACCTCAGCCCTTCCTCAGAATCCCGACCTTGATGCCTGGCAGAGCCTGGCCCCTGCCCTCTCCCAACCAGCCCTCCTCTGGCCACACCAAGCTCTGACTCCAGAGTCCCCTGGGGCTTAAGCGGCAGGGTGGCAAAGGGTGGCCCAGCCTGAGAAGTCTGCCCCCGGGTGGGCCTGGGCTGGCAGCAGGAGTGGTGCTAGATTATTTGGGTCCCTCTATCTGGGGTGGGGCGTCCCCACTCCTTCCTCGGCGACTCACCTTGCCTCCTCACAGAGCCTGGGCCCGCTTCCCTCTGCCGATCTTAAGCCGCCACTCAGAACCAGGCCCTTGCTACTCTCTGCTCCCCAACGTACAAGCCAGTGGCCTTACATCCGGAAATGGATTCTGCCGTGGGAGACCTGGGGGTGGGATGGAGTTGGGGGTGGAGAGTGGGGGTGAGGATGAGGGTGGGGAAGCTGGGGCTGTAGGTCATGGTGGTGGTGGTCGGGTTAGGGGTGGGGAGGTGCTCCGCCCTCCCTCAGGGTCCTGACTTCATGCCTGGCAGAGCCTGGACCCTGCCCTCTCCTAACCAGCCCTGCCCTGGTCTCACCAAGCGCTCACTCCAGAGTCCCCGGGGGCTTAAGTGCAGGGGTGGTGAGGGTTGGCCCAGCCTGAGGAGTCCGCCCCCACGGGGTGGTCCGGGGCTGGCCGCAGATGCGGTGCTGGATTACTTGGGGTCCTCTATCTGCGGTGCGAGGGTCCTGAGTCCTCCCTCAGCCTCTCACCTTGCCTCCTCACAGAGCCTGGGCGCGCTGCCCTCTGCCGATATCAGCCCTCCCCTCCGAGCGAGGCCCTCACTACTCTCTGACCCCTCCCGTGTGCAAGTCGTTGGCCTTGCATCCAGTCACCTGGGTCTTCCCTCGGGTGACAGCAGGGGCAGAAACAGATTCTGCTGCCGGAGGGTTGGGGGTGGGGTGCGGTGGGGTGGAGAGTGGGGCGGAGGGTTGGGGGTGGGGTGCGGTGGGATGGAGAGTGGGGCTGAGGATGGGGGTGGGGAACCTGGGGCTGTAGGTCACGGGGAGGTGGGTCGGGAGCTCAGCCCTCCCTCAGGGTCCTGACCTTGATACCCGGCAGAGCCTGGGCCCTGCCCTCTCCTAACCAGCTCTGCCCTGGTCACACCAAGTTCTCATTCCACAGTGCCCAGCAGCTTGAGCGGCGGAAGGAGGGGGGCGGCCCAGCCTCACAAGTCGGCCCCGGGTGGTCCAGGGCTGGGAGCAGAGACGGCACTTGGTCCTTTAGGGTCCTCTATCTGGGGTGGGGGCGTCCTCAGACTTCCCTCAGCACCTCACCTGGATTCCTCACAGAGCCTGAGCCCGCTTCCCTCCACCGGTATCAAGCCGCCCCTCAGAAGGAAGCCTCTCCCTTCTCTCAGACCCCGCAGGGCGCACGTCAGTGGCGTCACATCCGGCCTCCAGGTCTGGGGCTTCCCTGGCTTGACAGCAGGGGCTGAACCGCGTTCTGACGAAGTAAGGGTGGGGTTGGGGATGGGGTCCTCAGTCATCCCCAGGGTCCTGACCTTGATGCCTGGCAGAGCCTGGGTCCCCATCCTCTGCCCGTTGGGTCTGCTCCTCTCGGACCGGGTCTCTGCCTCCCAGTCCCCTGAGGTGGCAGTGAGAGGAGGGGTGTGGTCGGGGTGACAACATTGCCAGGGTCTTTCAGGACTGACGGGGGGGCTGAGCTGGATTCTGTGGCCTCTCTATGTGGGGAGTGTGGACCCTCTGTCTCCACCCAGGAGGGTTCTCCTGGCTCCCGGCTCTTTGATGAAATGACGGGTGGGAGATGATCTGTTTACGTCACCTTTGAGCATCTGTCCAACGGCACCCGTTGCAGGGAATGGCTGCCGGTCCAAGGCTAAATGCTCCCTGCGTGGGGAGGGGGGGTGCTGCAGCACCTGTGATTGTAGGACCTCTGGGAGAAGACGCACACCTTCCCATGGGGCTCTTCCGCAGCCAAAGCTAGACTTTGCAAACTTTGTCCTCAAAGACTGATCTTTTTACTGAAGAGGCTGAGCAGCAGCAAGAGATTTGGAGAAGCCAGGTGGTTTGAAGGTCTCTAACATATGGTAGTCCAGTTTAGTGATGTTCATATTTTAATCCTCATTCACATGGTAAGAAATAAATTTTACATTGTATGCGTACATTACATATGGCATATGTACATTTTACGTCTATTTGCCTTTATATGCATACCTGTTTTAGACGTTATATAAATTTATGTTTACATGTATATATGCATATGTACATATCTTTGTATCATATATGTGTGATTATAGGTACCAATATGTATATAGCTTTAGATCCGTACTCGTTTTTATTTGTAGACTTTATTCTATACACATGCACACATATTTTAAATACTATCTATTCATAGTGTGTGGGCTTCACACGTACTTACCATTCTATTCCTAGTTTATTCTTTATATTCCATTAAAATCATATTTTTTTTGGAAGGACAGTCTTCTTCTCCTAGTTTGTTTCAGGTGGTTGTTAGCAGAACTCCGGATCCGTAGTGTCCCAAACGACTCACGTTTCCCGATGTCCTGATATTGCCCCAGGGCTACTGGCACCATATTTTGTGGTGCTGCCCGAGATTGTGCAGTGATGTGGGGTGGAATGTGAAACACTTTATCCTACCCATCCTGTCATCTGCCATCTATGCAGGGTAAAGACACCCTGGACCCAAAACACAAGTACTAGTTCAGCACAGTCTTCAGTCATCCCCAGGACTTTCTCTGTTTCGTTGTTGATACTGCTTTTTGTCTTTTTCCAGGGTTGATTTGGGGAGCAGAGCACAGCAACCTGAGCTTGGCTGTCACTTCGGCAAGAACAGTTAAGGCACTCACTCTGTATTTAATTTAAGTAGCGTTTACATCTCTGCCATATTCTGTTCCCCATCAAGAAATATGGTATACAGATCCATTTACTTGAGATTTTTCCCTGAGTCTATTTCCCTTGAGATATTTCCCTTCGCACAGTCGCTACCATAAAGGTCTTGTTAGGCTCTTCTCATTTACGTTTTGGATTTTAATGCTGTTGTGAATGGTGTCTTTTCTATTTTCAATTTTATGCACTAAGTTGCTTTTGTGTGGCAAGGCTCTGGATTCTGCAGTAATGATCTTCTATATGATGTTTTCTGAAGTCTTTTATTCATTTGAATATTCAATGTGCCTATTCCTTTGAATTTTCTGTGTAGATAATCATATAGGTAACTAATACTATCTATTTCTTTGCAGTCTTCACATCTCATTTTCATTTTGACATCCGCAGTTCTGGCTCTTTTTCATTTTGACATTCACTACAGATGTGCGTGGTAGTGGTGACAGCCTATGTCAATGACTTGTCACTGCCGCGTGAAAGGCAACGCTTCTGACATTTCACATTTATGTATGCTTGCTGCCAATTTTAGGAAATGGAAGTTCCTGTTGATCTTAGTTTGCTAAAAGTTGTTGATTTGTACTCACATAGAATTGCTTTCAGCGCCTTTTCCGTACCCATTGTCATGACCGAATGTTTTTACTAGTCTGTCTTGTATGCAGCGAATTACAACTGAATTTTTTTCTATCATTAAATAGAATTTTTATTCCATGCATACAGGTGGCTTGTTCATTTAATCCACTGTTGTGTTGGATATGTGATTATCTGTTTACGACATTTGCTGCGGTAACACTTGGGTCACAAATTCTTCTCATGAGTGTTAGGGTGTCTTCATCTGTTTTTGAATCCAGGAGAGTGAGCCTGGGAGAATGAGTTGAACAATTGCCCTTTTTTTTTTTTTTGATGCATCGGAAGAGTTGCGCTAAGATGGTGATTCATTTTCCCTCGCCACTTGGCTGAACCAGCCTCCAAAACTTCCTGTCCCGGAACATTTGAGGGAAGATTGAACTTTGAATACACCTTCAGTTTGTGGACGTACCATTGGTTTCATCCATTGACCTCTTCAAGGACATCTTGGTTGGTGATTATGAATAAACTACTATAAACATTTGTGTACACGATTTTCCATGTGGGAGCCAAAGTTTCCAATTCACTTAACTAACACCTAGGAGTACGACTGATGGGTCTAATGGTAAGTCTATGTTTTACTACATAAGAAAGGGCCAAAAGGCCTTCTAGAGTGAATGCAACATGTTTCTTGGCTGCCGGCAATGAATGAGAGTTCCACATCCTCCCCAGAATTTGGTATTTTCAGGTATTTGAATTCTATCCATTGTAATAGGTGGGTAGGGGAATCTTAGTGCTGTTGACATTTGCGTTTTTAGTGAATAATTATGGTGATCATCTTTTCATATGTGTATCTTCATTGGTCAGTGTATGTGTGTTTCTGTGTATCTTCCTTGGTGAATGTCTTCAAATCATTTCCGTTTTTAATTGGATTCTTTATTTTCAAACGGTTGACTGTTAAAAGGTTGGTATTCATTCAGCATATGAGTTCTTTATCAGACATCAGATTACTCATATCTTCTCTCCATCTATATATTTTTATCCCATTATTTTAACAGTATCATTCTTAAGTAAACTTCTAATTTTAGCCTTTTCTTAGTTTACGGAACATTTTAAAGACAGTTAGGAGAGTCTTCCTTTACATCATAACCAATTTCTACTATGATTAACGTCATACGTTGATATGATATATTCCTCACAACTAACAAGCCAATATTCTTCTGCAACATCCTTTGACGATTCCTGGATCCCATCTAGGATAACACGTTATTTTAGTCATCTTGTCTCCTTAGAATCCTCTTGACTTTGAGAATTTCTCAGACTTTTATTGTTGTTGACTGCTTTGACAGTTTTGGGAAGTATTCATGAGGCAATTTGTGGCACTGCCCTCATTTGGGATTTGTCTGTGGTTTTACTCACGTGTAGACTAAGGTAATGGTTTTGGGGCAGGAGACCGGAGAGGTGAATTGCTATTCTCACCACACAATATTCTACCACCATGACTTATCACTGATGATGTTGACTTTGATCACCTGGCTGAGGTAGCGCTTGTCAGGTTGGCCCTCTGTAAGGTGATTACATTCCCTCTTTTCATACTGTACTTTCTGTAAGAAAGTCACCAGGGGTAGCCCATTAGGGAGGAGTGAAGTATGTTCCACCTTCTTGGGAAGGGGTAGTATAGACATGAATGATTTGGGATTCTTCTCTTTGGGAGATTTGTTTATTTTCCCCACTTTATGCATTTACTCACCCATGAATTTATTTCAGATTAACTCATAGTTAGTTATCACATGTTTTGGGCTATAACCCAACACCACTTTATTTTGTTGCTCAAATTGTTCCATCTCTGTCCATTGGGAGCTGCTTCAGTTCGCTCTGGTGTCCCTTTCACATAGGTTCACATTATATATGTTTTTTAGCTCTGCTATGACAAAATGCTGCAGGCTCATATGTATAGTTCCTGTTCCAGTTATAGAAGAATTCACTTTCCATGGCTTTCTACTTCTTTTTATTGGAAAAGTATATTAGAATCCTAGACGTGGGTTCCAGGCATGCTCATCGATCCTGTGGTCTTTTTACATCCAGCTGTCTCAGATGTCAGAGTAAGGAAATGTATATGTGTATATTAACCTATGTGTATATGCATACATATCTGTGTTTATTTGTACAACCATCTTCATGTATATGAAGCTGAACACGAGTTCTCACTGATGTTTCCAACACTACTCTATTACCACAAGGAAGAGTCTCATATTCTTCCTTGGTTTATCCATAAGCATCCACTTCAGCCGTGAGAAAGCTAACTCCCAGCATCCCTCATCAATATAATTAGTAGGTCCATGGGTGTGTGTGTGTGTGTGTGTGTGTGTGTGTGTGTGTGTGTGTGTGTGATGTGTAGAATCGCTAACCACCATCCCTGTGGGAAGCAGCTGTATCACGTAGATGATAGTGCTAAAGCACAGTTTCTTTCGACTTCAGTCTTAGACACCCACTTCCAGCATTACTTAGGACAGCACCACATCCACTGACACTCGTCAATCTTTCATACGTTGGTAACACAGTTCTATTGTTTGTACATATTCTGTATGCCACCTTGGCGTTTCCTGATCTCCTAGTCTTAAAATTTGCATATATTGAAATTCATTCTTTGTGGTTTAAGGCTCCATGCTCTTTGAGAAATGCATAATGTAATTCACCATTTTGACAATATGTAATCCACCACGATGTAACGTAATCCACCGTTATAGCAACCCACAGAATAGTTTCAACAGTCCGATAAATCCCGTCTGCTTATCCAAGTCATTCCTTCTCCCTACCCTGGAACTCTGGCAGCAACAGATATTTCTACTATCTCTGGGGTTTTGCCTTTTCTGGAATGTCAAATAAATTGGATCACCTTTTCAGACTGGCTTTACTTAAGGCAAAGCATTGAATTCACCGATGTTTTTGTGTGGCTTAATGGGTCATTTTTAAATTAACGACTAGTGTTCTGTTGTTTTAAGGCCACAGTTTGTTTATCCATTCACTTACTGAAGAATATCTTGGTTGTTTCCAGTTTTGGGAAATTATGCAATAAGCCGTCATACATATTCATATGCAAGACTTTTGTGTGGACATGTTTTCAGATTAGTTGTATGTATACCTAGGAGTGGCAACACAGTGATCAGCTGTGCAAAAAACAACTGACAACCCATCTTTGAAAGTGGCTGTACCGCTTTACATTCCCAGCAGCAATGAATGAGAGTGCCTGTTGCTCCTCCTTGTCGCCAGCAGTTGTCACTTGGTTAGGTTTTAGACATTCTGCTGCATTTGAATCTCGTCATTTCGTTCACAATGATCCAATGGAGAATAATGTTGACAATCGTATGCTTATTTTTCATCTTTATATGTTTTCTGGTAATACGTCTGTTCAGAGATTTTGCCCATTTATTAATTTAGTTTTCATAAGATTGTTTTCTATTGTTTAGTTTCAAGCATTCTTTGTAGATTTTGGACACAAGTGCTCTATCAGATATATGTTTTGGGACTATTCTGTCAGTCTGTGGCCTCTCTCTTTTTTTTATATAACAGTTTCTTTCACAGAGCATTCGTTCTATTCATTGGTAGGCAGTGTACCTTTTCATTTGTCTTTCACGGTCCATGCTTGTGATGTTGTATCCAAAAACGCATCACCAAAATCAAGGTCATGTGGATATTCCCCCTAAGTTTTCTTTCACACATTTCCTAATTTTGCATTTTAAATTGGAGTCCACTTCTACTTTGAGTCAATTCTTTGAGAAAGCTGTAAGGCCTTTCCTAGTTTCATTTATTTGCATACGGACATGCATTTGTTCAGGTGCCATCTGATGAAAAGACTACCATTTCTCCATAGAATTGCATTTGCACCTTTGTCAAAAATCAGTAGACTACACTTGTGTGGGTCTTTTTCTGGGGTCTATTTTGTTTCATTGATGTGTGTCTATTCATTTACAAATGCTGTGCCTAATTGATTACTGTAGCTATCCAGAGCAAGTACATCAAAGCTAATATCAACCATGAGAAGTCATGTATTTAGTATGTTCCTTTCATGTGATGTAACGAGGATGGCATTTTACCTATGAAATCTTCCTCTGAAAGCTCACATTGCCATTCCGATCATGAGAAAAAGAAAAGACAAGTCCCGGGACATGGGCTTTATGCAAAATAGCTGACGGATACTCTTCAAAATGTTAAGATCATCAAAAATAAGAAAAGTCTCAGGAATTGTCACAACAAAGACAAGACTAAGGAGACATGACTACCAAAGGTAATGAAGTATCCTGGGTGGGATCTTGAAACAGGAAAAGAAAATTCAGTATAACTAAGGACAACTGAAAAAAAGTATGTCCATTAGCTAATAGCATTGCATCAATATTGACTCCTCATTACTGGGGACAAATGTGCAGGGTAATGTAAAATGCTAATAATGAGAAAACTGGGTGTGAAGTGTGTGGAAATTCTCTGTATTACATCTGTACTAATTCTGTAAATCTGAAATTTTTAAAATCTGAAAGGCTTTTCATTTTAAAAAATGACTCTTGGATCCCATTAGAAGTACTAGGGCAAGCGCTCCTTACTCTCAGTACTGGCACTCCAAAGGACAGAATCAAGCTTTTATTCTGCCCTTCCCGTGGGTTTTAAGATAGCACAATAGCAATAGTTGCCCCACCAGTCCGACTTCCCTCCAAGCCTGACTACCTCACAAATCCTACCAGAAGCATGACTGCCCCACAAGTCAGAGTGCCCCCAAATCCCTAGTGGTCCAGAAGCTCGCCTGCCCCACAAGCCCACGTTCTCCACAAGCCAGGCTGCCCTGCAAGCCCATGTGCCGCACCAGCCTGAATGCCCCACCGGCCCTAGTGTTCCACAATCCCAACTGCCCAAAAAGCTCAAGTGCTCCCCAAGCTCGACTACCCCACAAACCCGATTTTCTCACAAGCCCAATTGCCCCAAAAGGCCGAATGCCCCACAATCCCTACTACTTCAGAAGCCTGACTTCCCCACGAGCCCTAGTGCCCCAGACCAGAAGCCCAAATGGCTTAAAAGCCTGAGTGCCCCCAAAGCCTGACTGCCCCACGAACCCAGCAACCCCACAAGCCCCAGTGCCACAGAAGGACAGCGGCCCCCAAATCCCGACTGCCCCCCAAGCCCAAGTGACCAACAAACTCCAGTGCCCCACACGCCTGAGTTCCCCACAATCCTGATGACCCCACAAGCCCTAGTGCTCCAGAAGCCCGAATGCCCCCAAATCCTGACTGTCCCCAAAGCCCGACATCCCCACAAGCCTGTCTATACCTCAAGCCGTAGTGCTCCAGAACCTCAACTTCCCCACAAGCCCCACTGCCCCACAAGCCCGAGTGCCCCACAAGCCCGAGTGCCCCACAAGCCCTAGTCCTCCAGAAGCCCCACTTCCCCACAAGATCTAATGCTCTAGAAGCCAGAGTGCCCCAGAAGCCCAATGCCCTACAAG